GCATGGGGGCAGGGGAGGGGGCTGTTAGAGGTGGATGTGGTGGTCAGCATGAGAAAGGCAGAGTGGACAGCCAGCATGGGGGAAGGTCAGCATGAGGAAAGGCAGAGGGGGTGGCCAGTTTGTGGGGGTACAATGGTCCTGTTGGAAGGCAGAAGACAGCCTGGGACTGAGGGGCAGCTAGCCTGGGGGCTGAAGGACCAGGCTTGTGGCAGGAGTTGATGTGTGGCATCCTTCCTGTTAGCTGAGGTCGTGGCCCAATGGTGATTTGGACGCTGAGGGGCTGGCCAACCAGCCTACTGACCACTTGCTCATGGTGCCTGGCTCAGAACAGGCGTGTGGTGGCAGGGAACAGCCCAGAGGGTCACACAGAACCACCCCTGGGCCGGACCCCCACTGGGCGTGGCTGCCTCCAGGCTGCCCCGCCCCCATGCCCTGTGTCCAGGACCAACGCCCTGTGGTCAGAAGAGTGTGGACACCTGTGTGGCTCCAGGTCCCTGGGGACAGGGATGCCTGTGTCACATGCCAGCTTGGGATCACGTGTGGTCTCTGTGGCTGAACACAAAGTCCATGGGTGACGATGTGCTCAGTGGGGACCTTTGGTCTCCTTGCTGTACACCTGGGGTCTCAGGTGCAGGTGGGGCACCCAGGCTGCTCCTGTGGGGCCCTGCGGGACCTGGGTGGAGAGGACAGCCGCCTCTCTCGGGAACTGCTCAGCAGTGACACAAGGCCCGGTCCTACAGGGCTCAGGATGCAGGGAGACAGCCTGGCTCAGCCTGGGGACATGGCGACTGCAGCCACGCAGAACACTGGGCAAAAAGCACCAGAACACACGGCCATCCAGGCCATGCTCCATGGGGAGGTACTGACCCAGGATGGCTCTGCACTCCCTGGGGTGAGGAGCATGGGGAATGGAGGTGAGAGGATGCTTACTGTGGACAGGCCCACCCTGTCCCTGACCAGTCAGAGAACAGCCCATTGGATGGGGACATGGTTCCTGGGAGCGCAGGCTCAGAGTCCACTAGAAAGGCCACGCTCCAGACATCAGCTGTGCTTAAGTGGACAGTCGCTTTCTCAGCCTGTGTCTAAGAGGTCACCACTTCCACTGTGTCCTGTTCCCACAGGCATCACCTCATCATCCTCTGTCCTGTTCTCACCTCATACACACATCACCCCATCATCCTGTGTTCTGTCCTCACATAGCCAACACCCCCCCCCCCGAGTTCTCCCCCATCACCCGTGTCCTGTCCTGCAACCCCCACGTCCGTCAGTGAACTCCTGCCCATACTCACCCATCAGCCCGGTGAGGTAGACCCCGTAGAGGGACAGGCCGGTGGTGGCCGCGTTCCACACGGTGCCGATGACAGCGTAGAGCAGGATGGTGCCCAAGTTGCCGAAGAAGAGGCGGTTGGGCATGAAGTAGCCGGCATCCAGCACGATGGGCGGGAGCAGGTAGAAGAAGAAGACGGTGGGCGTGAGTGTGAAGGAGGCGATGTGATCAGCAGCCCAGACAATGCCGCCCAGCACCAGGCCCAGCACAATGAGCAGGGCGCTCTCAGGCACCACCCTGGTGACCTTGCGTGACAGATGGAACACTGTGGGGAGAGGCGGCTGTGAGCAGACCCCGGCCACACCCACCCTGGACCCTGCGTGGTCGGCCAGCGAGGTTCTGGACAGCCCGGGTCGGTGCTGCACAGTGCATGGGCCACTCCTGTCCAGGTGTCTCCTCTCTGCCCTGCAGGGTTCGGGGGATGGGGCATCTGTGAACACAGGTTTGGCCGTGGGAGACACAGGTGGGATCACATCCAGGCGGCTAGCCTGGTGACAGAAGTGGGAAGTGTCCCTCAAGTGGTAGGCCTAGGAGGGACACCATGACCACGGGCTGCCACCTCTGTGGGCTGTCCAGGGAACCCATCTCACCTTGGCTACTATGACCTACAAGCAGGAACCCCAATGTCTACACCTGAGACCAAGCCCCTCGGCCCATCTCCTTCCCCCAGAAACCCTTGTAGGCTCCAGCGGTGTCACTCATGGCCATCTGAGGGCCTCCCAGCAGAAGCCACCCCTTGATCCCAAGCTCTCCCAGGGCCCCTGACACCCTGCTTGGCCCCCACTCGAGCCACACCTGAGAGCACCTTGGCCCTCCCCTCTATGTTAAGAGCAGATAAGAGCCCAGCCTGGAATGTGAGCTTCTGTGACTGGGGCTTTCTCATCTCTCCTCATGGGCGAGGCCCAGCAGGCTGGGAGCAGGGTGGGCAGGAGGGGCACACCGTGTAGGAGCCAAGCACGTGCCTTCCAGCAGCTGCCCATCACTGTCCTGTCCCCACCCAACTCCTGTGTGAGTCCGGTCCTCCCCAGGCCCGGCTGCCTTGACTGTGCTGGGTCAGTGAGTGGCCCGAACACAGTGTGAATCTGTCACCGCCCCCCAGCTGTGGGGGAGGAGCAGACTGTGGTTGGGGGCCTGGCACGTGGTTGGGGAGCCCACGTTCTGGGGGACTGGCTGCCAGGAAGGGGTGCAGCTCTCCCAGTGTGCCCACCAGGCTTGGCTGCGTGCCCACGGTTTCAGGCAAGGAGGTTGTCTGCTGAGCGGACCCGCTTCAGAACCACCATGTGGAGCCCAGGGCTGGGGCCCCAGCCCCACTTGCACAGCTTACGTTCTGTTTAAAGCTTCATTTTTCCCTTTAGAACTTTTCACAGGTCCAATGGGCCCCCGGGTGGGTGCCCTTCCCGTGTCTCTGGGGCCATCGGACCTGTTTGGACTGCATCTGCGTGGCCTAGCTACTTGGGGGGCAGCACAGCATTGTCACGCTCACGACGGTTTCCTGCACTCGGGGCCCTGGTGACTAAGCATCAGGGGTGTGGTGCTGAAGGCTGCCCTGGAGAACACGGCTGGCCGGTTCCCTGGAGCCCTCCCTCCACCCAGCAGGGAAACACAACGTGGCTGCACATGCTGATGCCACCCTGGGCGACTGCCCCAGGCATGGGAGAGTGAGGAAGGGTCTCCAAGGTCCAGGTCAGCACTATGTGCAGCTGCACCTGGTGCAAGGACGGCTGAAGCTCAGTGGTCAGGCTGCTGCCCGTCAGAAAGATGCCCCCCCCCCGGCTCCATGGGTCAGAGCCTGTCAGGGGCTGCATGCGGGACACTGGCCCCAGCATCACTGGGCTCTGGGAATATCTCAACCCTCCAAGGGAGAACATTTCCTCAACACTTGTGGCAGGTGACGAATTCCTGCAGGCCCCAGCTGTCTGTGCCCAGGAGCAGTATGGGAGAATTCCCACGAGAGAAGCACCATGGGAGAATCCCCACGGGAGATGCACCACAGGAGAATGGATGCAGCTCCCACATGGCTTCGCCTGAGGCATGATGGGAGAATTCCCAGGGGCCCCAGTTGCACCAGGGGAGTGTTCGAAGAAGAATCCTGGAGGGCTCAGATCTTGCTCCCATGCAAAGCCCTAAGGTCCTCTTAGTACCTGGCAGGCCCCAGCACCTGTCACTGGGCCATCACACGAAGGCCCAGGCCCCTGCCCCCGCCGCTCGGGAGCCCTTCCCCTAACGACTGTAAAAGCCCAGGAATTTGGAAGTGCCGCTCCGGTGCCTCCTTTCTGATGGAGTTTCCCCTTGTGGCCCAAGCCTGCTGTGGTCTCCTGGGCTGTGGCATCCATGTCTGGCCGCTAGCCACTGCTGTCCCCTGTGTATAGTGATAGCCATATGAGATCTGATGGGGTCCGATGGGCCATCCACTCATTTGTCCATTTCAGTCACATTCCTGGGCATGAGCTGGGACAGTGCAAGAAGCCTCAGGTGCAGAGTGGGCAGCTCTGGCCTCGTGGAGGGTCAGATTCCAGAGATCAGAAGAGACAGCAGCCAGTGCCCGGGCCAGGCATGGGCAAGTCGAAGGAGTGCTTTGAAAACTCCACCTTGGGCAGCTTTGAAGGTTCTGCAGAGTTGGCTGCAGGGCGATTGGCTCAGAACGTTCTAGTCTTTTCTCATCTCTTCTGGAGCCAGACTGTGAGGCCTCTCCTGGAGATCAGGTCACCGGGAATTTCCTCCAGCCCCAGCCTGGAGGGTGGGGTGCTGGGTGCCAGCTTATCTTCAACAACAACAACATGAAACTTTGCACCTTCAGAGCTCCAAATCCTCCCAACAATGTGGCCTGGTCCTAGCGGCACTCTGGTGTGGCAGCTGTTTACTCGAAAATCTTGGTTAATATGGCAAATGTGTGGACAGGAGACAATTTGACTTCACACCAGACAATCCTGCTCCAAGGTCAGTTCTGGAAAATCCACAGGGGGGAAAAAAATCTGAACTTTGTGGATTTGTGAGAAGAAAAAAAAAGTGAGCCAGAGGTGGTCGGACAGTTAGTCCGTCTCTGCCTTGACATGGGGGGCAGTGTGAAAGGACGCCCTTGCCTGCCCCCCACTGTCCACAGGGAGGGAACAGCCAACCATGTGGCCTGTTGACCGGCTATGAGGAGATTAGGGTGAGGGCAGCCCCTCACCCTCGGGACAGCTCTGGGTCCATGGAGGGACTCTTCCCAGGGTGTAGCTTGATTACCTTCTGTCTTACTAAGACCCTGTTCCCACCCAGAAGGTGAGAAACGACGTTCCAGGCAGATTTAGGTCAACGTCCTCCTGTGATTCGGAGTCCGAGGATCCTCGTCCTCTCCTGTGAAGTGTTTTCTTCAGGATCTGTGCGTTCCCTCAGCAGCTCAAAGTCCTTTCTTTGATCCAGGTTCTTCAGAGGTTGGAGGTCGGATTGTGTCTGTGTCTGTAGGTGCAGGATGTGTTGTCTTTAGAAGGCACAGCTGCTTGTTGCTTCATTTTACACACGTGATCTATGCTAACAGCCACTCCATACACACTTGTTCCACGTCAGCAGAGCCCCGTGCACACGCATTCCACGTCAGCAGTGCCCCGTACATGCTCATTCCATGTCAGCGGTGCCCCGTGCACGTGCGTTCCACATCTGCAGTGTCTCATTCCACATCAGGGCTGCCTTGTGTACATGTGTTCCACATCAGTGGGCCCCATGCACACGTGTCTTCTGTCAGCGTGTCATTCACCAGCGGTGCCCCGCGTGTCCTCTGTCCGTGGGGCATCGTGCACTTGTCTCCTGTCAGCAGTGCATCATGTAGTGGGGCATCATGCACACGTGTCCTCTGCTGGCACTGCTCACACTGAGCTTGGTCTAGGCCTTGTTCCGGGGAGGCACCGTGACGCCTTCTTAAGCGCAGATGATGCTGGTGGCCTGGCCTAACGGCTGGTTCGGGGGTCACTGGCTGAAGGTTGCACTAGGCATTAGGTGAGGGGAGCAGCCTGCAATTGGTCGTCTCTCACCCCTGGTGGGTCCTGGGTGGAGGAGATGCTCCTCAGGTCAGGCCTGTGCAGACCTCACTGCCTTTGTATCACCCACGTCCATGCTCTGATCTGCATGGCAGCGAGTGCATCAAAATCAGTCGCCGTGACTCAAGAGACAGTCTGTTAGTGAATCTGCGACTAGGTGCGCGGTGAACATTTCAGCGATGACAGAGCCCAGCTCCTGCTGGGGCCTGTGGTGTCCACTGTGGTGTCCAGCACCAGGACGGAGTGGCCTGCTCCGGCTGCGGCTGGCTTTCCTCCCGAGCTCCCAGTGCGACGTGTCCTGCCAGTGAAGACCCGCAGCGGTCAGTGCCTACCGTGCAAATTACCACTAAGAGCAATGGCGCCTCCTCCTTAATGAGCTCATTACGATGCGGACGGCTGTGCAGAGGGAGTCACATGTGATGGAAACCTCCCCGCCGGCAGGCCAGGCTGGCTGGCCGTGCGACCGGAGCCCCGTCTCCAGCAGCAGGAGCGTGACCACCCTGGGGCCAGCCCGGCTCACACTGGTCTGACAGGTGTGGGTGGGGGCGCGGGGCCTGGCCCACCCGGCGCCGAGTGCAGGTGCAGGGCAGCCACTCCTGTCCTACATGTTTTGAGGTGGGTGGTGACGCCCGTGGCACGGGAGACTGTGACGGTTAAGTGGGGACACATTGCACAAGAACTGGCAGAGCCTGCAGCCCTGTCACCCGCCTTCCCTCCCAGCCCTCGGTCCGGCTCCGCACTCCGTCCTGTGTGCATCTGCCCATCTGTGCCCGTGAACGTGCCCATGGGCGCAGCTGTGCCCATGGTCTCTATGAGGGGGAGGGACATGCCTCCAGTCCCCTTCCCATGTCCCTGGCACTTAAGCAGCTTTCACTCTTTCTGGGCACCTTCCATTTTCCCGAAGGGAGGAAAGGGAGGAGGTGGCGTCTGAGTGTGACGCTGGGAGCGTCATGTACGTGGAGCAGGCCTGTGCCCAGCCACTCGTGCCTGGGCATTTGGGGTCTTACTTGTCTCAGGAAAGTGGACGTGAAGCCACAGTGCCTGCCGGGGCCACGGTGACGCAGGTGCAGAGACGTGGAAAACTCAGATTCCATTCCCACGCTTCTCTCACCCCACTAAGAAAAAGGTCCAGATGGAGAGGAGCCTCACTGTGGCTCATGGACACAGGCCAGAGCCCCCAGCCAACTCAAGGAGGACAAAGCGCATGGTCCTCCAGCCCAGGGGGACCGATCCTGAGGGCCCCACAACATTC